GGTTTCATTAATAAAGTTGAAGATAGAAGAAAGGGTATAGCTTCCTGTACCTTATCCCATTTCTACCAATAACCTATTACCTACGGAATCTATTTTTCGGAACATAATAAAAAATTCAGAATTCTTTTCTTCTGGAAAGCAATCACTCTTTTTCATTAAGGAAAGGAAAAAGTTTTTTTATGGGATGGAGGGAGAAATTGTTAGTAGGTAATTAGAAATTCGTGACAGTTAGACAGTGAAAACTGTTGTCATAACATAATACCTTCTAATCAATTTTGAATGAGACCTTATACTCATATCAGAAGAATATAGTGCTTACAGTGTCTCTGTCAGAGTGTGTTGCTTTCTCGTTAGTCTTTCTTCTTTTTCTCTAACAATTGTATCAAGAGGCAGCAACATCAATGGGGCCTGGTGCATTCTCAACAAATCTATCCATTCTCAATGGCAAGAACTGGGACAAATGGTGCATGCAGATGAGGGCAATTCTTGGACACCAAGAAGTTGCAGAGGTGGTTGAAGAAGGGTTTCCTATGCTGAGCGAGAAAGCCACGGATGCAGAGATGGTTAATTATAAAGAGAACACAAGAAGAAGGATTGTATAACTACCTTTTTCATCCATCAATGTGTTGATTAAGTTCATTTCGAGAAGATGGCAGGAGCTGCAACTTCAAAGGAGCCATGGCAAATCCTTGAAAAATGCAATGAAGGAGCAGAAAAGTTAAAGAAAGTGAGTTTGCAAACCATGAGGCATCAATATGAGTTGATGTAGATGGGAAGCAGTGAGAGAATAGCTGAATTCTTTAACAGCATTGTGACCCACACAAATGCGATGAAGAACTGCGGAGAAAAGATTACAGATTAATCTATTGTTGAAAAGATTCTAAGAACTCTGAGCTCCAAATTCGATCCTATTGTGGTGGCCATTGAAGAATCAAAGAAAATTAAAGATTTGAAAGTGGAAGAATTGCAAGGGTGTTTGGAGGCACACGAACAGTGATTAATTGAAAGAGAGGGTGATAAATCAAATGATCATCAAACGTTGCAAGCCAATGCTTCGAAGAAAAGTAGCTACAATTCCAAAGGGAATTATCGAGGTTGTGGTGGAGGAAGGAGTTCGAGCAGTAGTTCTGGGAGATGTTGGCAAAATCCAGATCAAGAAAAGACAAATGACGAAGGCTCAGAAAATTCGTTTAAACAGAAGAACCCTAATAATTGGAGGGGTGGAAAGAAGAAGTTTGATCGAAAACGGATTGAGTGCTTCAACTGCAATCGCATTGGACATTTCTCTTCCGAATGTACTGCAGAACCGAGGCACTCAGATAATAAGGGAAAGCATAGAAATCATCAGGCAGATATGGTCAAAGAAGAATTTGAAGAAAACTCTGATGAAGAACCAGTAATTTTGATGATGCTGGCTGATTTTAAGGGTAGCTGGTATACTGATTCAGGATGTTCCAATCACATGACTGGACATCATGAGTGGCTAGTTAATTTCACTGATAGAAAGAAGAGTACCATTTGTTTTTGTTGATGATAGAGTCATCCAAGCTGAAGGAACTGGAAACATGACTTTGAGAAGATCAGATGGAAAACAGATAGTAATTACTGATGCACTTTATGTACCGAAGATGAAAAGCAGCCTGATAAGCATGGAGCAATTACTGCTGCAGAAAGGGTTTTCCATGAAGGTGGTTGATAATTTCCTTGAGATTTATGATTCCAGACAGAAATTGGCAATAAAAGTATCTCTGGGTCAAAATAGAACTTTTAAGGTCAATCTGAGCACAATTGAAACCCAATGTTTCTCTGCAGCTGTGCTGGATGAGTCCTGAATTTGGCACTTAAGGATGGGACACTTGAATTTTAGAGACTTAAACTTACTGAAATCACGAGGCATGGTTACTGGTCTGCCTCACGTCACAATTCTGAAAAAGGTATGTGATCATTGCTAGTAAGAAAACCAGAAGATCTTTTGGCTCATACACAATGTCCAGGGCTAGTGATGTCTTGAATGTTGTTTACTCTGATTTTTGCGGACCTTTTGATGTTCTTTCATTGAGAGGGAATAAATATTTTGTTCTATTAATGATTTCAATAGAAAGGCGTGGTTGTACTTGATCAAAGCTAAGCATGAGGTGTTTAATATCTTCAAAGAAGTCAAGATTTTAGTAGAAAAGCAGTCTGAGAAATGTTTGAAATTGTTGAGGACAGATGGGGAAGGTGAATACTCTTGAAATGAATTTGAAGGATTCTGCATGAGGTTGTTGCTCCTTATACCCCTCAACACAATGTAATTCTGAAAGGAGGAATTAGACTATTGTCAATATGATAAGGAGCATGCTAAAACAAAAGTCAAGCCTGATGGTTCAGTGGCCAAGCATAAAGCCCGATTGGAGGCTAATGGTTTTATGCAAAAGGAAGGCATAAACTATTCTGACGTTTTCACACCAGGAGCAAGGTAAGAAACTATGAGACTGATAGTAGCACTGGCTAGTTTGAAGTACTGGAAAATGTGGCAGCTTGATGTAAAATCTGCATTTCTGAATGGTTGGTTGGATGAAGAAATCTACATTGAACAGCCCCCTGGTTTCGTGCAGAAGGGGAGTGAGCATAAAATTTTGAAATTAAAGAAGGCTCTATATGGCTTAAAACAAGTCCCTTGAGCCTAGAATAAGAGGATAGATGCCTTTCTACATAGTATCGGTTTTGTGAAGTGTCCTGTTGAGCATGGGGTTTATGTGAAAAATCTGAAGCTGAATGAGATTCTCATCTTGTGCCTCTATGTTGATGACTTGCTCATCACCGATAGTAACTCATCAGATATTGAGTCAATCAAACAGAATTTAAAGATCGAATTTGATATGACAGACTTGGGAATTCTATCCTACTTCCTTGGTTTGGAATTCATCTACACTGAAAAAGGAGTTATTATGCACCAAAGGAAGTACATATCTGATGTACTTGAAAGATTCAATATGCTAGGATGTAAATCTGCTGAAACCCCTGCTGAAATGAATTTAAAGCTTGCAACTAGTGAAGCTGAAGCTCCTACTAATGCAACTCTCTTCAGACAGATTGTTGGTAGCTTGACATTCATCTGTCAGAGCAGACCAGAAATTACTTACAGTGTTGCCTTGGTGAGTAGAATTATTAGAACTCCGAAACAGATACACATGTTGGCTGCAAAGAGAATATTGAGATATTTGAAGGGAACAGTTGAATATGGAATTTTGTTCTCCAATATTAAGGAGGGAAATGTAGAAACAAGGCTGGTTACTTATTCTGACTTTGATTGGAGTGGACATAGTGGACAGAAGGAGCACCATGGGTCAGGTTTTTCTGCCATAGACTGGCCAAAAATCCAATGTCTCTTGGCAAGAGCAAGCACATAGAAACAAAATTCCATTTTTTACCGGACCAAGTAAATTAAGGTGTGATTCAAATGAAGCATTGCAGAGCTGAAGTGCAATTAGCTGACCTTCTTACCCAGGCATTGAAGATTGACAGATTCAAGAAACTAAGATTCTTTGAATATTGTATGTTTTTCATAGTGTGGATTTTGAATCAAGGAGGAGTGTTGTTAATAGGTGATTAAAAATCCAGGACAGTTAGTAAGTTAAAACTGCTGTCGTAACATCTTGTATAAAATACTCTCTGTTAGCTCTCTCTAATCAATTTTGAATTTGAATGAGACCTTATACTCATATCAGAAGAGCACATTCTCTGTTAGAGTGTGTGTGCTGTTCTCTCTTTCTCATTACTCTTTCTTATTTTTCTCTAACAGAAATTTGATAAGGTGTAGAAAGCAAGAGCCAAGAATAAAACGAGTTACCAAAAAATGAAAACACCTAATTATCAAGTCTAATAATCTCATTATGACCTAATTATATGTATTTTTCATTTTAAACTAAATTATATCTATACTATTCTGTAAAGAATTCCTCTTTTGTTCACATTTTTCAATTTTTTTTAAATTTAATAATTTTTATTTGATTGTTTTTTTATACTTAATAATTTTTTAAAATTTACTAAATAAAAATTATTTACAAAATAAATAAAAATTATTAAAATTAAATTGTAAAAATCATTTATATGTATTTTTATAATTATAATATTTTTTGTCATAAAAAATGTAAACATACATACATATATTTCTATTAGTTTTAAAGATAAAAATAATTTATCAGTCAATATCTCATAAATTAAAAAAAAAAGTGAATCTAAAATTTGTTATGCAAAACAGTAATAATAGAAAAATATTTTTTTAATAACATTTTTAAATTTTTTTTTTTTATAATAATTTATATAAGGGATTTGTGATTGATATATTTTAAATATAATTAATAAAACAGTGACGTTTAAAAGAGTTGGTAAAATATCATTGTTCTTAATAGGCTTAATTACCTACTTAGTCCCATGTTCGGAGGTAATTTGCTGTTTAGTACCCGGTTTTAAAAATGTAGGCATTTGATACCTATGTTTTGAAATTTGTATCAATTGAATCCTACCCACTTAACGCCGTTATAAATCTAACGTTTTTCTGACTGTGTATGTGATTTGTGGACGAGCGGTTGTGGACGAGCGTCCTCTTAGTTCGCTGAACGAGCCTCCTCTTCTGCCTGGGCGTTGGCTTCGCTGGACGAGCGTCGTCTTCTGCCTGACTGGGCGTTCGCTTCGTTGGACGAGCGTCCTCTTCTGCCTGACTGGGCGTTCGCTTCGCTGGACGAGCGTCCACTGAACGTACTTGCGTCCACAGGGCGAGCGTTATCAATTGCTCGTCCACAAACGCTCGTCCACAAATCACATACAAAGTCAGAAAAACGTTAGATTTATAACGGCGTTAAGTGGGTAGGATTCAATTGATACAAATTTCAAAACATAGGTATCAAATGCCTACATTTTTAAAACCGGGTACTAAACAGCAAATTACCTCCGAACATAGGGAGTAAGTAGGTAATTAAGCCTTCTTAATAATAAGTTTGTTTTTTTGTCCACTTTCTTCCTCACTTCACTTGTAGTATCTTTCAGTGAGCCTTCTTTATCCAGTGATAGGTTAGGCATCTTAATAACTCTTCTATCTCTGAAAGAGTGAATCACAGAACGACCACCACCCAAACACAGCCTTTCTAACTAACTTGGAAGTTCTAATTCCGCCATGGCAGTACCATCGTCACTGTTTTCTCTCTCATTCCCCTTCGACCCTCAAATCCAAATCCAAAACCTCTCTTTCTCTCTCTCTCTGCCTTCTCACTTCTCTCTCTTCACCTCCACCAAACCCCGTTTCCCCGCTTTCAAACTCTCCTCTTCCCACTCTTCCTCTTCCCCTCTCACCACCGGCTTCCTCACTGACGACGACCTCCGCCGCCTCAACTCCCTCGAATCCTTCCTCTACAGCTGCGACCTCCCCTCCGGCTCCCTCTCCGTCCGCCTAATGCGCCCCCACGAGACCCGTTCGACCGTACTCCTCCTCGCCCACTCCTTCGCCGAGTCCTTGCTCATTCCCGCCGCTTACGTCAACCTCCTGGCTTTCCTCATCAACCAGTACCTCCTCCAACGCCTGACGCTCCTGCCCAACACCGCCACGCTCGTCGCCTTCTATACTCAAACACCATCGCCACCTACTGCTGCTGCTGCTAAAGAAGACGAGGAAGAATCATTACAAGAAGAACCACTACAAGAAGACGATGGAGCACCCTTGGCTGGAACTGTCGAGATCTGTTTCAACAGAAGAGGCGCCAATGCTTCCGTTCCCTCGCCCACCCCTCCGAGGGATTCACCCTACATTTGTAACATGGCCGTGCAAAAATCTCTCAGGAGGTATCTGCACTCTTACAATTACTTAAAACAACATGTTTATCTTTCTATATGTAGTTGGGAATGCGTTTTCTTTTTAAATTAATATATCGAGCAAATTGTAGGTTTCACTCTATTGTATAATCGCAAACGTGGTTGGGAAGGAAAACTATAAAAAGTGACCCGTCAAATTTTTTGATTGTGATTCATCATTGAGAGAATCTTTGTAAATACTTGCCTGTGACATGATTATATAATGAAAACAATTACAGACTGTTATATATAGCTAGTTTCTTAACTTCTACGATAATTACCTGAAATTCGTTATAGAATATAACTTAATATAACTTAATCACAACCCAAAACCCAATGCATGGTAAATTCGTTGATTTCTACCATCTTTATTAAAGGTGATCAGTCCAAGTTATTTGAAAGAGATTAATTATTGACAAAGTTATTGAATATTTTGTATTTATGACATGATTATAAAAAGAAAACAATCACAAATTGTAACATATAATTAGTTTCTTAACTTTAAGCTAATCGCTAATCACTAATTAAGGATCACAATATGAATGAGAGGATAAAACTTTCATGTAAATCTCAAACCCTGTGTATGGTAAATTCATTGTTTTTTACCGTAACTATATTAAAAGTCATATCATCAATGATTTTTAAACCTCCTTTATTTTTCTGTTAAATATTTGAGGATTGGTTTGGCCAGAAAAAAATAGACGTGTTGGAATTTCAGGGGTAGTTTTTGATGGACAAATTTTAGATGAAGTTCGTTGAATATTGTTTTTTTAAGAGTATTGAAGTTTTACTTCCATAATAGAAGTTTGTAGTAGTTATCTGCATAAGTTACCGGGGTGATACTTCAATTGTAATTGGAGCATAGTGCCAATAGCATCTAAGGAACTACTGAGTTTTTTCGTAGTATGATGAACTTGATATTTTTTTCTTATAAATTATCTTGAGTATTTATACCTTTTCTGTACCTGCTATAACTGTAATTTCTAGATTGGGTTAGGTGGGTTCTTACTTGGGAGAGATTTAGTATACTTTTTTTCAGTTGTGGTTTAGGTTTGATTAACAAATTATTGAAGAAATCTGTTGAAGTTTCATTGATTAATTGTGCCTTTGCTAAATTTTGAAAGAATGATTGTTGTTTGGGTTGATGAGTAAGACTTTCAGTTGTTTTTTGACAAGTGTTATATTCTGGGCTCAACTTTGAATATTGTCACTTTATATTGTTCGAACTGAAGCATATCTATTCATTCAAGAAATTGAGTCTTGAGTTGGAATGTTCAATAGGGTAGAAACTTGAATTGGAGCTTGTGTTTTTGATTCATGTTGTGGAACAAATGTGATTATAAATAGAATAAAAGACTTGGCTGGTTCCTGCCAATAATGAAAAGTTCTTGATATGGGCTTTATTCTCAAACTATGTGAAAATTGTGAATGTCTCTAGTGTAATCTAATGATAAAGAAAGATGTCTTGGTTATAATCTAATAAAATTTTGAAACTATGAGACAAGGTGGTTCTTATCGAGGAAGTTAATTGTGTGTTGTCTCTCCATTCTAGTGAGGCAGGAGATAAATGTACTTTTTATATTTTATATGCTATTTTACATTGCTTCTTTTACATGGCAATTTGAGTAGGGAAAACCCACAATTAGATTTAAATAATGAAGCATTTCTGCTACCTTCTTTACCATGAAAGATTTGCAATTTATATTTAAATCTTTAATTTACATCTGTTGACTACAGACAGAGATTGACATCATCCTGGCAATTGCAGCTATATTCTTGTTTCCAAGCATAATTCGGCAAGTATACAATGCCATGTTCAATTTTAAAACTTTATGGTCTACCTTCCGTGAATGAATGCATGACTGTTGCAAAGCCTCTACTAGTTGCTTTGAGCATCACATTTCATTATCAAGTTTATACAATCCGACATACATTGTTAATTCTAAATTCCCATGTCTTAGCTAACATTTTAAAACTGACTGTTAAACTACCTGAATGTAACTAACTTTCTGAGTGTATGTTTCTGATTCTATTCAGGAGGGGCATTGGCTGGCATCTTCTAAAGGCAAGTGAGGAATTAATTTCTCAGATGAGTTCCTCAAAAGAGGTTTACTTGCATTGCAGAATGATTGACGAAGCTCCATTTAAAATGTACACAAAAGCAGATTACAAAATTGTAAAGACAGATAGTATTTTAGTCCTGCTGATGTTGCAGAGACGCAAGCACTTGATGTGCAAGGAACTCCCTCTTTCAAGTACGACTATAGAATCAGATCTGTCAGAGTATGATAAACAAAAGACTATATGAATGCGTATATGGGTTGCAAAATATTTGTCAAGGTAATGTTGTCATTGTCTCAGTTTCCTTGAAAGCTTGTATGTTATGTGTTTCCACACAATCTTATACTCAAATACATGACCTAGGGTAAAGATTCTTATTTGTAATTTTGGAATATCCGTTTCAGCATTGATAGCAAGATGGACATGGTGGTTTTAAGTTTGACTGGAGAATAGAGAGTGGTATCATGCATCCTTATTTATTTCTCTTATCTTTAGGACAGGGACTGAATGTTACAGGTAAATTACAGCATACTGTTTTCTAAATTTTTTATTTCCTTGTCTGGCTTAGACAGTCATGTAATAATGGATAAGATTGTGAAGCTGGTAATGGTAACATAACATGTGATAAAATATACCAAGTCAGGTACATGGTTCTTTATTTAAGAACCAGATATTAGATGCATGAAAATTACAAATCTTTATTAACTCTGTTTCCTCAATATAATTAAAACAATGATTTATATGTCTATGGACATTCTTGAAATTTGAAGGTGACATATGGAACATGTTGAACCATACCAATCATATGCCCAAATAAAATATTAATGTTAGAAAGTCGGGGAACATTTTCTGGGGAAGTGGGTTTATTTTGTTGAGGTCTCTTTAACACTCTTGCCATATGACCAAAAGGGGTGCGAGTGACATGAGGGCATGACTGGTGGTGGAGAAGAGATAATGGAAATGCTCTTTCTTTCTCGGCCATGAAGGATTGAGTTCCTCATCTCGTAAAATCAGCCAAGTTGTTATGCTTTGTACTGATCATATTAATATGTTTTGCATATATCTGAATGGAAGAACTGTTGGAGTTCACTTTTTATTATCATCAAGATAATTTTGGTGTCTAAACTGTGATTTCACTAGATCATTCTCAAAGTATGCATAACCATACCCAAGCCTTTTGAATTTGTATAGATAATCGTTAGGAGTTCTTTTACACATTCTGCCATGGACGGTCTCTCATTACTCTCAGTTCGAACACATCTTGATGCCAGATTGGCAAACATGACTATAGACTGAATGGTGTAGGAATTTCGAGCCATCTCTGGATCTATCACCTTCCGAAGCTTTTTGCGGTCATTCAGAATGTTCCTCACCTGCATAGGAATGATAATGAATTAAAGTCTTCCAGCTTTATGAATCTAGTGATTCTCAATGATAAGGCTCTATATAACAGAACAATAAAACAGGGATATTAACTAGGATTCCAAGGTTTTCGCTCTAGAAAAGTACAACAGCATGGAAAGAAAATCTAGAAACAGGTTACGACATGGTCCCAAATGCCAAGGGAACACGCAACCTGTCCCAAGTCACTCTACAATTTCATAAACCTCTCATATTTCCTCTTCCTCACGTTTATTTCACATTCTTGTCATGCATGATACCAGAATCTTCCTCTCCAATAGAATTGTGCCAGCTGGCCTGTTTGTTAACAACCTAAATAGCCTCTTGCATGGTATGCTGTTCCTCGCCCTTCTCATTTCCCCTCCTCTTTCATGCGTTCCAGTTTGTTTCCGAGGTTCATTCCTTTCTGCTAAGGACACAGCCCATGTTGTTTCTTTTTCGTACTTTAAACTTAGGCTATGCGTCCCAGTTTGTTTCCGATATTCATTCCACACTACTAGCAGAGGTCAAATATGATTGGTAGTGGTTGGATGAATCTACAATTCTTGAACATGTGTGTGACGGGGGTTGGGGGTATTTCAAGTGAAAATACTATCTTGTTAAGAGGAGAGCTGAGATTGAGCATTGAATGTCTCATGGCTGGTGAACGTTACAGGTTTTCTATAACTAAAGTCACATCACTCTTACGTTAACTATTTCTCTCACTTTACACATACAAATATTTCTAGTAAGAAAGTTACTTTTTTGAGAGTGAGAGGTGCAAACCTGAGGCATACGGTACAACCGTTCATAGATCATCAAGACTAAAAGGTTTTTAGGACATGTATTTTTAATATTGACCATTTATTATAAGATCTAACGGTTCTAATATTTATTTGTGACTCATTAAACAAGAGTTCTCACTTGATTATTTTTTAAATGCATCAATGACAACAACCTAGCCTTTTCCCACCTATTAGTTAATCAAACAGTTCTATAATATTTTTTGATCATGTCCTTAGACAACTCTTGACTATTGCATCTTTAATGGTTTTGCTTGTAGTTTCTCCCAGCCTTTCTCTGCCTCCAATGATTAAACTATCCTCTATCTGATGTACTGTCGTCACTATGACTTTCTCCCAATACCACCTTTTTTTTCTCAAATTCATTACTATTATTATTATTATTAATATTATCTAATAAGATTATTATAAAAAAAAATAGCGCCTAGTAACCTTTTAATGAAATATAAAAAAATATAGTACTGAGTTTCGGGGCTTATATGTTGCCTTTACATTCATAAGGATCGACGCTGAAAGTACGTCCTACCTGTAGTACAAGGTTTTGATCGTTGGGACCTTGATTTAGATCCACTGCTCGGCGTCCAGTCAAAAGCTCCAAAAGAACAACACCAAAAGCATAAACATCACTTTGTAGAGTGAGTTTTCCAGTCTGTTGTGAAATGAAATATTTAACAATGTTAGTGTAAGAACACGTATTTAGCATTTCGCTTCCACTAGATATAAGATTGCAAGATAGCACTCTGGGATAGACACATCTGATTTGAGAAATAAAACTGCTTCTTATGCTGCATTCTTAGATGATGGAATGAATGATTTATTTGGCAATATCAATTTGGGTAACAATATTTGGTTGTAAGTATCGCGGGCAGAATTGAATCATGCTAATTTATGCTAAAAATTCCCCTAGCAGCATAAAAAAGCCGCGTTATATAACTGTGATGAGAAAATGCATAGGTATACAAGACTTTAGGAATTTAAGCATTTAGGTAAAGACAGAGAAACAATTTTAATAACTTGTAAAGACACCGCCCATGAAAGTCCTCCAGGCTGGAAATGTTGATCAGGATTGAGGGAAGAAATTGCTTTGAACTTATACATGGAATGTTATTTACTAGAACATGTCCACGGGTGGTATGGGTTTTGCTCCTGAAACATCTTGATCTAAAAGCATGGGCTATTATAAAAAGGCCTCTTCCTATGGTTAGACAATCGTTAAAATCAAATGACTTGTTAAGTCTAATGTTGGGCTTCTGGTTATAACAAAATTCTCTGAATCATTTAGTAGTAAGGGTGTTGCTCCCTCCACCACCACAGCCTTCTCCCTCCACCTCCCCTTTACTATTTTGTCCCTCACTAAAATTTTATTTTTAGAATTATTATTTTTTAATTTTACTCATTTATAACATATTTCACTGATAACCTACTTAGTTCCTTGTATGAGTAAAATATTTTTCTGCAAAGCTCAGTGATCGTAAAAAGAATTATCAAGCAATCTTCCTCTTGCTTTCGGTGCAGTACATGGTGCAGTGCGTTTGTGGTGTAATGTGCTTGTCGTGGTTCCTCTCCAGGTACGTAGTCATAATCCTTCCAATAATCCTAAACCCTAAACCCTAAATCCTTCCAATAATCCTTCCAATAATCTTTCCAATAATCCTTTAACCCTAAAACGTAAAATGAAAACGAAGCCTAAACGGATGACATCCTTCAACGGATGTCAACATCCGTTTAAGGCAAAACGGATGTCGACATCCGTTTCGTCTTAAACGGATGTTGACATCCGTTGAAGGATGTCATCCGTTTAAGCTTTGTTTTAATTTTATGTTTCTGTTATTATTTTATTAGATATTTTAATATTTTGATTTATTATTTTTGAATATCTTTTTAATGTATTTTAATAATGTATATTTATATTAGTTTATATTTAAATATTAAAATATTAAAATAATAAAATAATAAAAATAAAAAATTTTAACTTTAAGGATATAATTGGAATTAAAGATAATTGGGGAGGTGGAGGGAGAAGGCTGTGGAGGTGGAGGGAGCAACACCCTAGTAGTAAATAACCTAATAAACCATATAAGAAAACTGAGAGACTTTTTCGGGCCTTAGGCTTCTAATGCGAATCAAAATTTCAAGGGTTATACTATTTTTCTTATGTTGGTGTTAAATTTGCTGACCTAATTTGCATGGGTGATTTATTTTTTGGTGGCCTAAACTGCTAACAAGTAACTAGTATTTACTGCTTTGGTGTTGTTCAACCATTGATATACCCTGCTCTGGATTAAGATCTCCATATTCACACATGGTTGAATAAGTATGCATGAGATGAAAAGGAATTGAAAATTTGGGTATATTGCGCAAATGACCTACTTTGTAGCAATAACTCGATGTTAACATGTGGAGCTGTTTTCACCTTGTGCACATTATACTGGAAAAATTGCACTAGTATAATGTGCACAATACATTTACCCTTGCTGCAAAGCAAAATTTCATTTTACCTTAATAGTGTATACTATTATCTTAAGGCATTGAAAATTGTTGGAAGTCCCACATCGACTAGAGATAAGGTCAATTCATAGTTTATAAGTGGGTGCAAACCTCACCTTACAAGCTGGTTTTGTGGGGTTGAGTTAGGCTTAAAGTCCACTTTTAACATGGTATCAGAGTCATGGTTAGAGCCTATCCTAGCGATATTTATTGTTTGCTGGGCATATTGTTCCACCCGCTATCGGACCACCCATTAAAAATGTCTAATCCCACACTCGATATGTATATACCTCGGCGTGAGGGGGTGTGTTGGAAGTCCTACATCAACTAGAGATAAGGCCAATTCATACTTTATAAGTGGGTGCAAACCTCACCCTAAAAGCCAGTTTTGTGGGGTTGAGTTAGGCTTAAAGTCTACTTCTAACAAAAATCGAAAAAATGAAGTATTGCTTTTTTTAAAATATCTTTATGGTATAGATGCATACCGATGTATACTCAGGATCAAAATAGCCAAAGGTACCAAGTACTCTGGCAGTCACATGTGTCTCTTGTCCTTCTGGCATTAACTTGGCGAGACCAAAATCAGATATCTACAAAAGATGTAAATTTTATCTCTGTACATATGATTGTGATAATGAATTGTTGAAGTCACTATAAAGACTCTATTTACCTTTGCTTCAAAGTTGTCATCTAAGAGAATATTGGTCGATTTGAAATCCCTATGAACAATAGGAATTCCAACATCAGAACTTGAATGAAGATAAGCAAGCCCTTTTGCAGCTCCCAGTGCAACTTGGAGTCTTCGAGGCCAATCCATGTTTCTTTCCCCAATTCCTAAAATTAGATGTTAATTAATAAAATCTCGACGTTAAAAATTATGCCAATAGCATAGATTTGGGTCAATGACAAACCATTCAAATGATCTTGCAGGTTTCCATTACGCATATATTCATATACTAGGAATCTATGCTTTCCATCAGCACAGTAGCCTATCAAAGAAACAAGATTTGGGTGGTCAAGTCTGCTTAAGATATCAACTTCGACTCGGAACTCACGCTCCCCCTCTGCTGCTTTAATTGCTGGCAACTCCATTTTCTTGATTGCTACAACCTTCAGAAGGAGACTTGTTGTATTAGTATGTATTCATCTGTATCAAATTCACTAATTTTGAGCATTTTATAAGAAACATGATTTCTGTATGAAAGCTATAACCGACGTTACAAAGTCTTGTGAACTATGATGAATTCAAATTCCTAAGGGCAATAAACTTCTGTGTTACCTCTCCTGACCGCAATGTGCCTCGGTAGACTTTGCCGAATCCTCCTTTTCCAAGCAGATTCTCATCACTGAATGAACATGTTGCCTCTTCCATCTCCTTAAGTGTGAAAACAGATGATCCATGTAGCCTTTTTGTAGGTCGTGGTGTCTGATCTTCAAGTTGCCAAAGCTGTGCAGGTTTGTAAATCCCTGAATATGAAAGTTTGTAAATGTTACTCGTTGGTTATGCAATAAAAACAATCTAAAGTACAGGCTTAAACCATGAGGGAGAAACACAATAAAGAGCCATTACAGGGATCTGTGTGCTCTTGAGATTTGCTTCTCCGGCGCTTGTTCCAGGCCGAGACCAAACCAAATGGCATGATTGATTGCTCTATCTTATATGTTCTCTGTTTGAGAAATGAATTGTCAGGCCCTAACAAGCAACATACAATTGCATATAAATGACCAATTGATTTACACACTGAGATACAGGTGGTTCTGTGAAAAACTTGAAGTAAACTACTCCACAATTAATCACTCTAGAATAGCTAGCATGCCTGAGAAAGCTATATTCCCATATAAAAAGCAGTTTGATAGAATGGAAAACCTCTGTGAATGGGGGTACGTGTGGATCAAGTGAAGCTAGATTAGAATCATTGACAGAACATCTTCCAACAACAGCAGAAGGAGAGAGACAAAAATATGTACTTTAAGGCAAAGAGAGAGCTGATAAAAGTAGGTATGGCTTACCTATGGTTGAGATGTGATAGTAAGGGTGGGCCGGGCTTGCTTTGATGGTGAAATGGAAACCGATGCCTCATTCACCAAGTTCATCATGTTACCGTTTGCATTTTGAAAATCAGTGGCGGTTGCAATGCCCTTTTCATTTGTTCTCTTCATTGCAAAATTTGTTATCTTGTTTCCAAATTTTTCTCTCATATGGTGCAACCGTCGTTGTTGTTATTAAAGCTTGTCATCATCATCATTTGAATAAGCTTTTATTTGGCACCAATAATAATCCATGACCATCTATGTGGGTACCAAAGCCATTAAATACGTTTTGTCAGCTATCATAGCCAGAAAATGTGGAAAGGAGGATTTTTATTATTTTCAGGTGACGACAGAGGACAAATAAGAATAAGTAAAGTCATGACAATGTAATTCTTATTTTTATTTTTTCATTAGTAAATAAAATTATTTATTTATTATTTAAATACATTTAGTTGTTCATTTTAGAATAATCAGATTCGAGTTCAGTTGGGTTGATTATTCAGGGAGTTTCGTCAGGGAGTTTCGTAGAAAGTATCAGATCAAAAGTTCTAATCTCAATCTGATCAAAGTACAACACACAAAATAACAAAATATTTTGGATTTTACTATGTGATCATTGAATATAAAAGCCATAATATTTTGGACTCCAAAAGAGTAAGTTGAATTTTACATTTTGACTTTCGGATTAATGAAATTGACAAGCTTGAATTTGAAAGCGTGTATGTAAATTAAAAAAAAAATTTACAAGTCAATAATATTTGTCTATTAGATGTTATAAAAGAAATATTTTCAAGTAAGAAAATGCATGCATGTTTCTAGAATAATATAGTTGATAGTTGCTTTTATTATAGTGTATTTATTTTTATTCGATCCAATAGACATACTGAAGAGCACGGTTTAATAAGATCTATTAAGTTATGAATCAGTTCAAACCTATGTCTATTATAGTAACATTTACATGTCATAACTAATTTTGATAGCTTGATATTGTGGTTATTATTTCTCATGAGGTATCATTATAATATTATTAACTACATTGTTATTTTATAGTTGAAGTAAGTATTATTCTACTAAGAACATAGGTCATGACTCATGTTGATCTTATAAATATAACTAGTATTCATTAAGGAATACTCATTTTATAATTAACTCGGTTTTCTAGCATCCAAGTATAGTAGCATATTACAATATGGCATTGCATTACTTGGATCCAAGAAATAATGGAGCAGAAGACAAACCTAGTATGGAGAAATTCTGAATATAAAGCACAAGGAAAGCTTGCACTTAATCAGAACGATTATGAATCCCTTTTATAAGAGAGCCTATAAGGTAGAAGAACTTAATGAAAAGCTAAATGATCGAGGTCACCCCAAGAAAAACCTCAAAAATAGATAAACACGAAGGCAACATCCACTGATAAAATGCCTAAAACAGCACACGTCCTAAGGATAAGCAAACATTTTATTCTTAAAACCTTCACTTGAAATATTTTATTTGTTTAGTTATTCATTTATGCTCTTTTATGCTAACAATGACCACTTACTAGCGGTACCACAACTCTGATCATACACGGATAACAGTTGAAAAACTGTTATTTTTATACTTAAAATTGATATTAAGAACAACCTTTATGACTAGAAACTAGCTTGAAAAACTTGGAAACTGACCCCATAGAGGTGAGGGTTCTCCAGTCTTTAATGCAAATACTATTGCGCAAGTTATATCTCATGCAGTGCGGTGTTTTCTAATGCGCCATTCACTGCCTAGATGCATAAGCCACAGGTCTCCGTCCTTGCATTAAAACGACCCCAATCCTTGGATGGTATGACGCATCACAGTACACCTCAAAAGATTTGCTAGAGTCTGGAATGATTAATATAGTGTGACGTTTAGTCGTTGCTTCATATCTTCAAACTGGCTTCGCACTTGTCAGTCCACACGAATGGTTGATCTTTGCGAGTTAACTGAGTCCAGAGGACCTACAATCTGGAAAAATCCTTCGACAAACAAGGTAATAAACCGGCTAATCCTACAAAACTTCGTACTTCAGTTACAGTTTTCGGCCGCTACCACTTTAGCACAGTCCACTTTTGCTGGATCCCTGAGATTTTTTCGTAGCAGAAATCACATGACCCAAAAAATTGTACTTTCCTAACCAGAAACTCACACTTGACAGTTTCCCATAGAGTGATGTTTTCTCAAAATTTCAACACACCCTCAAGTGTTCTCATGCTTTCATATTCTTTGAATAGATAAGAATACGTCTATAAATACTACCACAAACTTATCTAAACATGACCGAAATATTTGTTCATGTAGTCCATAAAAATCGTGGAGCATTCGTCACGCCAAACGACATACTACGTAATCAAAGTGTCCGTAGCGAGATCTGAAAGGTTTTTGGACATTTCCGTCTTGACAAAGAATCTGATGGTACCCAGATCTGAGATACAATTTTGGAAAAACCTATGACTCCTTAAAACTGAATAATAGATCATCGATCTTGGACAAGGATACTTGTTCTTTATTGTAACCTTGTTCAACTGTCGATTAGTCCACGCACAACATTGAATTCCATCCTTCTTCTTCACCAGCAATACAGGAGCTCCCCATGGAGACACACTTGGACGGATAAACTTCTTCTCCAACAGATCTTCCATTTGCTTTTTCAACTCTGCTAGTTCTGCAGGAGCCATTCTGTATGGAGCCATAGAAACCGGGCCAACTCGGGGGCACTGGGCACTATCTATCGTTGAAATCGATCTCCGACACTAGGTGGTAAACCTGTACTTCTTCTGGAAAAATATCAACATATTCTTCTACCACAGGTTATTTCCGATGATTTGTCTCTTCAGTATTATTTCTTTCTCCTGAGCTAACACCACATAGCAAGTAGCTTCATCTTGATATCCTTCGCAACTACCCAAGTGAGACTTAGTTCTAAATCATTCAAATTTAGAAAACTCTATCTTTGGTGTCCCGCAGTCAAAATAAGAACTGATTGTCCAGTCAACCATCCATCCAAAATAATTGTCTAGATTTTGAAGGGGGTAAGCAGATCAAGTGTCACTTTGAACTTGCGTCCTAATACTAAATTTGGATAGGGCATCAGAAATAGACTGAACTGGTCGTAAAATGGTCCCGATGCTGGTGTGTAGAAAACTACCTTCATTTACACCCTAGAATCACGCATCGGTAAATCGAGTCTTCTAAACATGCTAGGGATATAAAGGAGTGTGTGGCTCCAGAATCAAACAAAACATATACTCATTATCCTAACAACATACAGGTGTGGTAAGATTAATGTACCTGGCTTAGTAGCCTCTTCCGCATACATTGCGAATACTCTTCCTGTTGCCCGGGGCTTTACTTCAGCATATCTGTTGGGTTGTGGTTCACCCACTTCTTTTTCTTTGGACAAACATTAGCAAAGTGTCCCGGATCATTTTGCAGATGAAACATCTCTTCCCTTCAACTTTTTCCCCAATAAGTTTAGGGCAGTCACGTTTGAAATGTGCTCCTCCACACTCAAAACACTTCACTGTTCCTCGATAGGATAATTGCGGTTTTTCATAAGGCTTTTTGTTGAATGTCATTGAGATTCTCCTTTGCAAGTCTTGGAAACTCTATTTGGATCAACTCCAACAATTCTATCATTATTGCTTTCTCTACCAATGCTGGAAACTATAGTATTTCCAATGGCATAAGTACCTTCTTCAGCTCATGCCTTAGTCCTCCCTCGAATTTTCGCCATCTTCCATATTCTGTAATATTCTGAGTATAAAATCTTGAGAGATGAGATAACTAAATTTACCACCAACGTACTCTGTAACTGAAGCCTTCTTTGTTGTAAGTCAGAAACTCCGCCTCCTTGCAAAATTGTGCACTGTTTGGAAATATTTTCCAAGAACCTTATCTTAAAGTTCTCCCAATCACCGCCTCACCGAACCGTCATCAACTGTGCCTACTTTCCCACCAATATTCAGCCTCACCCACCAAAAAGAAATGATGCATAAGTTAATTTTGTTCTCCTGAGCAAGTTATATATCAGAAAAAAACTTATCATTATGCCCTTTAGTCAGGAGCGGCCTCATCAGGAGTATGCCTCCCCGTTAAATTTTAGTTGGATCATGCTTAAGAAGTCATTCAAGCTAGAATGATTTTAAGGGTACTTGATCAACTTGTTGTTGCTGCATCCTTTGGTCGAGTTTTAAATGATTTCTTCAAAAAAAGATAATGATACAA